TGCGGCTAGCGTCTACTACAATTACACTGGTCAAGCCAAGTGTTTTGACCTCAACGACAATTTAGGTCAAGTCGGGAACGATGGATGGATATGGCAGGTATGACATTTTGAACTTTCTACCCAAAAGTATAAGTTCTAAGCCATCGATTATAACTCATAAGCTACGAAACTAACTTATGAGCTGTTGGTTTAACTCATCAGATATCATCTATCTATCCTTTTCTATCCTTTTTCAGCTAGATTTACCCAGAATACCACGAATAAATTAGCTACACTGTAAATTAGTATAAATTGTAGTGAAATGAAAAGTTGTGGGCTTGTGGCTTATTTTTCAGTCCTGTACAGAGCTGGTTTTAGAATCATATGGCGACTCAAAGGACAGCATGTTCCCGGCCTATAATTACACCTACACTGGTACCTTTCAATCTTGCAAGGATTATTTCAAAGTAGCGCCTAGACCCACCTGGATTGCCACCGAGTTTGGAGCCCATGTAAGTTTTCAGGCCCAACTTAAAATTACCCCATTTATCATCATTTCTTGGCCCAATAAGCTCCGTTAATNTTGATTACTGCATTACTTAATCATCATCATAGAAAATAAAAAAGGTAATAATTAACAAATTAAAATTTTCAAAAATGGTTTAGGTCAGGTAAAAAAAATAAAACCGTTATAGACGTGTGTGTAGTTTGCTACATAAAATAGAATATAGTAGGATGAAAAATACAAATTTTTATATATTGATGATGGTGATGATGTAGGTTCATAATGTCTTTTCGCGGAAAACAAAAATATTTTTATTAATATATACATACGCTACAGGATGGTAATAGAAAATTATTTAAAAAAGTATCCATCTGATGTCGAATAATTTTGGTAATGGACTTAGTATCGAATAATGAGTTACACATGTTTTTAGTAATGGACTTAGTACTAAGAATATCCGATTTAAACAAAAATGAACATAGGAAGATGAATCGTTCTATCTTTAAGACAAGAATGATACATTTTAAGTAACAAGGAGATTACCATCTAAAATGGATCTTCAAAGTGGTGGTTCTTACTGTGTGAGTATTCTAGCTAGTGAATATAATCTTTATTTTAAGAAATTGTCTTTATGTACCATGTTTTATAAAGAATATAATTTCAATTTTTAAATTATAGTGGTTGTATTTATGTTTTATTTAATGAGATTTAGTGTATTAAAATAAAACATTTTATCTATTTTGGTATGATTTGTGTACTCAAGAACTAAAATCTGTCTCAATGCAATAAATGAAAGTTTGTAACTCTAATAAAAATAAAAGCAAAAACGGGTTTGAAAAAAGAATGCACAGTGTTTTCTCAGTGATTAAAATAGTTGGGGCTAATGGTGCACTCTCTCTCTCTCTCTCTCTTTTTCGGTCACATGTAGCATAAAATATCTCAGTGTTGTATTCATTATTACTCTTTTTTTTTTTTTCTGGTTTTGAAAATTCTGATAAAACAAATGAGAAAAATGTTGTATAANAACCCAAAAGTAGAGATGTTAAACGGGCTAGCCCTAGCGGGCTTCGGGTTAAACGGTCCGGGCCTAAAAAGCCCGGATTTAAACGGGCTACCAAAAAAAGGACCTAACCCTNGAGATTCAGGCATTACAGATCGGCCTTCAGATTGCTGTCCACCTCTCTAGCCACATTTGGATCGAGCTAGACGCTGCGGCTGTAGCCATCCTTTTGACCTCGGGCCACCAGGGCTCGTGGCAGATTCAACACCCGCTTATGCGTATTAGAGCTCTACTCCGGTCTGTTTATCACAGGATCACGCACATTTTCCGTGAGGGGAACAGACCTACCGACTAGAGATGTTAAACGAGCTAGCCTAGCGGTTTCGGGCTAGCCCTAGCGGGCTTCGGGTTAAACGGTCCGGGCCTAAAAAGCTCGGATTTAAACGGGCTACCAAAAAAAGGACCTAACCCTAACCCTAGTGGGCTTCGGGCTAAACAGGCTATGCGGGCTATGGCTATAATAATAATAATAATATATAAAAAAATAAAAAAATAAAAAGAGTAAAAATTTTTTTAAAAAAAATAACAACTGCTAGTTAAAAATTGTTTTCAACGGCTATTTAGAATTACCGTCTATCACTATGATTCATGTATTTCTTATTAGTCGTTCTGATTGGTTTAAATATTTTGGTATGAAGTACAATAACAATATTGTTAATAATTATCTTTCAATATCATAATAATCCATTACAACTCGTACTTACATGTGAAGTGGAATATCAAAATTGTAATATACAAGGAATCTAAGAGCATATCACTTACTTGATACAAACATTTACACCGCCCAACCCTAATTAAACGGGCCAGCTCTAACGGGTTCCGGGCTAGCCCTAGCGGGCTTCGGGCTAAACGGTCCGGGCCTAAAAAGCCCTGATTTAAATGGGCTACTAATAAAAGGACCTAACCCTCTTTTTTTCCGGGCTAAACGGGCCGGCCCGTCGGGCCAAGGACCATTTAACATCTCTACTACCGACTATCTGGCCAGCCTTAGCGCCACCATACCAGACACACATACATTTCAGACCGACACTGCTCCACTCTGCCTTCGCACTCTTGTACGGATGGACCATCTTGGATATCCAGCGTTCCGCTTTCAGTAGTTTAGGATTTTTTGCTTTCATTAGTCTAGACATTTACTTCGGGCATCTGTTAGCCCGAAGATCGACTTTGTATTGTANAATGGTGTTAGGCCCGAGCCGGAGATAAACAGGGTTAGGGCCTTTTATAGACAGCCCGGCCTGGACCGTTTAGCCCGAAGCCCGCTAGAACTAGCCCGAAAACTGCTAGAGCTAGCCCGTTTAACTTGGGTTGGGTAGTGTGTATGTTTTTAGAAAGGTAAGGAATATGTCTCTTGATTCCTTATATATTACAATTTTGTTATTCTATTTCACATGTAATTATGAGTTATAATGTAGTATTATTATTTTGATATATAATTATTAACAAATATTATTATATTTCACAGCAAAATATTTAAGCTAATCAGAATGCTAATAAAAAACAAATGACACAAAGACTAACACATAGAATATAGTGATAGAATATAAATTCAGCAGTGAAAATTCCTGAAACATACCAAAAAACTAGTAAAATGGTAGTTATAAGTAATAGTTCGAACATTTTTTTTTTCTATTGAGAAACAATATGTTATTTAAGAGTTTGCAATGTGTGTTCATATATGAAGTGTAGTTGTATATATATAGTGGTAAATACTATATAGCCGTTGAAAAAAACTGTTAACTAGGTGTTGTAATTTATTATTATTATTATTATTATTATTATTATTATTATTATAGCCCGTATAACCCGTTTAACCCGAAGCCCGCTATGTTTAGGGTTAGGTCCTTTTATTGGTAGCCCGTTTAAATCCGGGTTTTTTAGGCCCAGACCGTTTAGCCCGAAGCCCGCTAGGGCTAGCCCGAAACCGCTAGGGTCCGCTCGTTTAACATCTCTAATTGTGCCGTGTCCTCACATGAAAATTGTTTCATGTTTATGTAGTTAAAAATTAATGTAGTTAATGTCTGGTTAATCTAATAATAAGATGACTAGCTTGCTATTGGCCTAGAGACTAGAAAAAACAGTATATGTATGCAAATATTGCCTCAATAATTGTGTATCTGAAAATGTCTGAAGACTTTTAAAATGAAATCAAATGACTATCTTGATGATCTTTTTCTTATAGTCAAGAGTGAATGAAAAAGATTGATGAATTGATAATTATACTAACCTTTTTTCTAATTTTTGTCTGGCCTCATAAATTTAGAGTGAGAGTGAGAATTGTTACCAAGTGATCAAAAGATCGTGGCAAGAAATTGAAGAAACTGCAGCGAAACCCGGAGGACTAGAAATTCTCAGGAATTCATTCAGAATATGCAAGTATGAAAAAAAAGAAGAAGAACTACTATATTTCTAAATGCTTATTTTTAGGGCATTGCTGTTGAAAGATTAAAATTTTATTATTGGAGTGGTGTATATAATATTCTTGTTTAATTATTTTATTTTTCTAGTGTATTAAGCTAATTAATCTTTTTACTGGTTTTATAGGAATCATATAAGTGCAGGTTCTCTAGAAAATTGGCTATATACAGCTTACACGTATACAGCCATGACAGATTATCCAACTTCTAGCAATTTTCTCAAACCCTTGCCAGCATATCCAGTCAAGCAGGTACACACAAACTCTTTCAAATCCAGATTCGTGATCGTAAAATATTTCGACATGTTTCGTTTAATCGAATCATAAGATGGATACATCATATGAACAATAATAGTCAAGAACCGAAAAAAAAAAAAATTAATGTTCTATTTAAGTTTATGGTGTCGTATAGTTTACACAAACTCAATTTTCTCGGTTTCATTATTTATAGTTCGGTTTAGCAATCACAGTCAATATTCCTATTCATATTTGAACTAATTGTATTGGTGTGGAAATTAGGAGCTCACTTACTAATTGTATTGGTGTGGAAATTAGGAGCTCACTTATTATGGAAATGCAGATGTGCAAAGCAATCGATAATGTAAAAACCGGGAACACATTCGAGAAATTATATCGTGCGGCTAGCGTCTACTACAATTACACTGGTCAAGCCAAGTGTTTTGACCTCAACGACAATTTAGGTCAAGTCGGGAACGATGGATGGGCATGGCAGGTATGACATTTTGAACTTTCTACCCAAAAGTATAAGTTCTAAGCCATCGATTATAACTCATAAGCTACGAAACTAACTTATGAGCTATCGGTTTAACTCATCAGATATCATCTATCTATCCTTTTCTATCCTTTTTCAGCTAGATTTACCCAAGAATACCACGAATAAATTAGCTACACTGTAAATTAGTATAAATTGTAGTGAAATGAAAAGTTGTGGGCTTGTGGCTTATTTTTCAGGCCTGTACAGAGATCGTTGTAGAATCAAATGGCGACTCAAAGGACAGCATGTTCCCGGCCTATAATTACAACTACACTGCTATCTTTCAATCTTGCAAGGATTATTTCAAAGCAGCGCCTAGACCCACCTGGATTGCTACCGAGTTTGGAGCCCATGTAAGTTTTCAGGCCCAACTTAAAATTACCCCATTTATCATCATTTCTTGGCCCAATAAGCTCCGTTAATAATACAAAATGTTATGTATTGCAGAACATATGTAGAGTATTAAAGCGTTCTGGGAGCAACATAATTTTCTTTAATGGGCTGAGGGACCCATGGAGTCCTGGAGGGTAACTTTTTTGCTCTTATCACAATTAATAATTATTTTATATTTAGCCTTTTAGATAAGAATTTTTTGCACATAATAATCATTTTCTTTATTTTTTTAAAAAAAATAGAATTATGCATTAAATATGATTTGATTTTTCTTATTTAATGGCAGGGTGCTAAAAAATATATCAGAAAGTATAGTTGCAATTGTTGCGAAAGAAGGTAAGTTACTTTCACATGTTTTTGTATTTGAATTGGTCTTATGGTTAATAATAGGACTAGTGTGCAACATTCGTGTTTTTAATAACTAAATTTGCAGAAATATACATAAGTGAAAGTATTTAGTTGACATTTTAAATATATCATTCCTAAAAATTTATATTATTATTTATACTTAAAATGACACTATTATTGTAATATTTTTTTTCTAAGTCATAATATATAATGATTTAACAGATGAATTTATTTAATTGATATATATTTTTATTATTTCAATTAATATTGATGTATAATTTAATTTTTATTATAAAGGTAAATATATATTTATTTATGCATGCAATATAGACATCCAAGCTCGTGAAGAGACGACTGATTGATATATTATATATGAAAATATTATTAAAATGCAAAAGTTATTAACTTTTAAAATATATTTATAATTTAAGTTTATCACATGTTTCATAATTGTAAAAGTCCTAACAAGCACACACATAGATATCTAAAATCTATATGAACCACTCCAAAATAAATACATTGGATTATAAAGAAATAAAATTCGACACATAGGATTATGAAGCATCAAAAGATGACACATACGCTTAAACTCTGCATTTCTATATAGGAGGGATGTTAGAGAATTTTTTTCAAGATCACATATTTTTTATTTACAACATTGAAAGAATATTATGATTTTTCAAAATTATAGGTGCACATCACGTGGATCTTAGATTCTCAACAAGTGAAGATCCAAAGTGGCTTCAAGATGTGAGGAAAGAAGAAGTGCATATCATATCAAAATGGCTCACTCAATATCATCATGATTTGATTGATTCTCAATGCTCTTAATAGAGTTTTTGGAATTCCATTTGATAAACTTTCAATGTAATGACAATATAATAACATAAAGACACCAAATTTCACTTTGGTTTGAGAGCTATTGAAACATAACGAAATTTCACTTTCTTTTCATTTATGATTATTGCTCCTTGATTTTGGAAGCCAAAGACATCAAATAGATTATATAGTTGTACTGAAATAAGTTAATTGAGATCACATAATTGTAGATGTGAACTTCTAGATGAAACTATATAAATTAATCAGAATTATGATCATAGGTATTTTTTATTATATATAATCCGTATTTAAAATGTGCAACAAAAATTTGTTGAGAACCAATGTTATTATAAAATGTTTAATTTATATGAAAACATCTCAATTACTTTATAACTAGTACAGTACCCGTGCGATGCACGGGAGCATTTATTACCTCCTTACTTTTTTTTTTGGCCGAAACGATAGAGGATTTATAAAAGAGCGCACAAATGTGCAAAGTTACAGCCACTAGCTGAATAATACAACCGACGACTGAGAAAACTGGAAGGACAGATCCGAAGACTGCCTAGATCCGAAAACTAGCAAAGCTAGAATACTCGGCAACACACTAAATACTAACACATTACAAAGCACTAAAAAAAATAACACAAAGACCCCAACAGGGTAATACCTGAGTGTCTGGCCCCAACAGGGAAATCAAGTTGACACTCAGGTTCACAGAGGCCAACGGCCCAAACCAAAAACACTAAACAACAGCAAAATAACAACCTACTCAGAACAACTAACACGAACTACAAAAACGAAAGAACACGCAGCCTCCCTCCGCTGAAACATCCAGAAAAGACAGCAGACATAGCCAGATCCATGGAGAGCTCCGAAGCTCCGAAACGACGCCCGCCACTGCAGAAGGCCTAGCAAGGCGAAGTGCCAAACCTCAGGACAAACCAAAGAACTAACCCGCACACCATATGCCAGAAATCAAAATCGTCCCCCAATCGGCTAACACCACTAGCCAATCCACAGCCATCCAAGATTTGCCTAACACCACTAGCCAAATATGGAGACAGACGACCTCCCACAAACTCAAAATCGAGAAGGAGGAGGAAGGGGACGACAGATATCCGAGCTCAGCCGCGCCGACTCCGCCCAAAGGACCAAACCCAGCCCCAAACGACCACCCATCCACCCAGCCCGCAAGGATGAACCCGACCCAACACCCCAGCGAAGCCGAGATACCGGAGACCAGGCTCCGGCGAAAACCGAAGACCCGCAATCGGGTGGACCTTCCAGCCAGGAAAGAAAATCGCTCCGACCAAAGCTCGAATCCGACCACCTCATCCAACCTCCAGTGACGGACCACAGCGCACCCGCCGCCACACCGAACCGCCGGCGAATAGCTGACGCCGAGCCCGTCAACAATGGCTGGAGAAAGGGGAACTTGAACAGGGGCGACGCAGACGACGAGCCGCTACAAGCCACTGGCCACACTCCTCCTAGTCTCTCCACCCTAGAGCTCCGGCGGTCTTCAAAAACAGATCGACGAGATCGACGAAATCTGTCGAGAATCGCCATCCTCACCCCACGGCCAGAGAGAGAAAGGAGGGAGTATCACCGCGGCGGCACGGTAGCACGACGATGAGCAGTCTACCGGCAACCCGGATGGACGCCGAGAGAGGCTTTAGAAGCCGGCGGTGAAGGCTAGGTTTTCGGCGAGGTTGATTTGGGCAAGAGCGAAGAGAGAGAAAAGTACCTCCTTACTTTTTAAAAGGTATTTTTGTATTTAAATTGTCTCATGACATTAAAAATATCATGAAAATGAAATTTATATATTATTGAACACTTTCTTATGTACAACATTTTTTGTTATAATACGTAGAGTACTACATGGGTGTTCGAATTTTATCTAAAATTACGTAATATTAGTTATTAGTTAACAAATTACTTTTTTTTTAAAATAAGGAATCTTATTTATTGGACAAAATTCTAGTTAAAAAAATAAAACCTTTTAGGGATTTCTCGCCATTTTTTTAAAATCTTATTCAAAATTTTGATTAAGAAAACTTGAAAAGAATCATTAGTTTTTCCTAAAAATGAAACCAATTTCCTACCAATCCACCGATTTTTTTACCACACAAATTGATCTGAATATTTGGTTAAAATAAAGTAACAAGAATCATCAATTTTTCCTAAAAATGCAACCGAATTTTTCTAACATTGCAAGATCTTTTTACCAAACAAATTGAATTAAAATAAATTCTAATTAAAAAATAGAATAATTTGTTAAGGTTTATGCTACTGTTTCTTTCCTAAAAAATTGATCTGCACTTAACAAAATAAATTGATATCAACTTACCAAAATCTTGGTAATACATAGTTAAAAGAAAATAAGGATCCAAAAAATTAGTGCATTCAAATTTTAAAAAGTTGCATACGATTTTTCCTTGAGTATTTTTGTTCCCAAAAAAGTTGCACATGGTTTTTCTTAAAAAATAAAATGATTAAGATTTGAGTATTTTTTTTTTCTTTAGATTCAACCGTATTTGTAACTAAATTCACTCTGTTTTTTTTGGTTTTTATCCCATAAAAATTATTTGAAAAATAAATTAATGTCCAAAAAATTGAATCACACATGTTTGGGCTATTTTCTTTCGCACTTCTGTGTGATTTATAAAATCCCCATCGTTTCGAGAAAAGAAAAAAAGAATCACACGTTTGAAATGAGGTTGACAATAAATTTAAAATAATACTATATCATAATGATAAAATTTGTTCAAATAGATAAACATAATTGAAAGAGATAAACACAATTAATTTACTACTAAACATGTTTATTGGAAACACACAAATAATAAAAATAATCGAACTGAAATTATTTAACCAAAATATAAAAAAAATTAAGGAAATGTGAAAAGAATAGATAAATTTTTTTTCTTAAATGTGCGATAGATTGTTACAAAAAAAAATTAAATTAAATATTGACACCAAAATGTCACGGTTTTAAACAATAATATCTCACGTGTTTTTTAAAAGATACCGTGCAAACACCAAAGATGCACCAAGTTTTATTCCAAATAATTGATTTGAAATTAACTTATCAAAATTTCAATAAATTTGTTAAGAAAAAGATATCTTAATCCACATTTTTAAGGTGATATCAAATTTTAAAAAGTTGTACACATTGTTTTCTTATAAAATGAAGTGTAATTGATTTGAATAGCTTTTCGAAAATAATTGCAACTGAATTTGTTCCAAAATATCTTGGAAGTTATTATCACAAATTTTTTTCCTAATTTATTAATATTTATAAATTAATATTTATTAATATTTATAAATTAAAATTATTACTAATTTAAATGACATAACCGATTAAATTTAGATTAAAATTATTGACTAATTTAAATAACATAGCCGATTTGCACCAGAATTACAAAATTTAATTTTTAAAAAATCATCAAATGTCCTTTGGGCGGAAATTTACGAAAAAAATCATTTTTTTCGATATCTAATTATTTTTATTAACTTGTCTCTAGAACAAAAAAAAAATGAAAATTCAAATATAACCATACGTGATATGTCTATTTTTTTATTTATTGACCACATAAAAATAAATTTAAAAGATGAATTATATAGCATAATTTATCTATACATCTTTTAGAAAAAAATTAATTTGTCTCAAATGTAACCACTTAACGGGGTTTCTAGAGATTTATAATGATGCGACTATTGTAGAATAATATTTGAACATAAACAAAAATATGCTAACTACTTATTATCCATGAGAATATATTATATGTAAATGTTACGTAACACGTCCACTGACTGTGAGTTTCCAATCGTGAAGCTCAACCGCCCACCGATCACGTACACCCGGCCCTCAAACCCACACACGAAGCAGTCCCAACGCGGCCTGCGAAGGCCCTCGAGTCGCCTTTTTCGCGCTGAAACTGTTTAACCGATTTATGCCTAAACCCAAAGCAATTTGTAGATCGAAAACATAAAATTAATTCTCATCCCAATTAAAATAGAGGCAAGAATCAAAATTCATAAACTACGCCAACCAATTGGCAATTGCAATTTTCACATCAAAACAAAAATCTTGACTCCATAAGCAATTTGCAGATCGAAAACATAAAATTAGTTCTTTGCCCATTAAAAAATAGATGCAATAATCAAAATCCATAAACTACACCAATCAATTGGCAATTGCAATTTGCACATTTTTTATTTATTTTTTTATTTTTTATTTTTTTTGCAACGACAGGAAATTTTATATCAATGTACACAAGATAAAACTGGGAGCAAAATGCTCAATGCCACAATGCAAAGGAGAACCACACTCACTGGTGGCCTATACCCAAAATCTACACACAATCTACACAAAATACTAACAAACTAAGGCAACATTACATGTTATGGCCCTTAGTCTGCACAAGAAACAACCCACTGCAAGAGAATAAAAATTTGACAGCACCCACTAAAACAGCAATGCCACAAAGCAGTCCAATACCAAACTACCATAATACAAACAGATAAGAATATACAATCAGAAAATAACAAAACATGGACAAAGGCATAACTCAGCTTTGAAGAGTGAAGTGTCCACTGAAACCAAATTGCAATTTTCACATCAAAACAAAAAATTTTATAAAAATATCTACACGCTAACAACTTAGAGCTAATTTGCAGCCAGAAACCTCCAGTTACAATTTGAGCAATCCCACACATTAGATTACTGGACCATTTCATGAGCAACATACATGACATAAACAATGACCAACTCGAAAATCAGTTGATGCAGACACAATTAGTTACATGTATATTCAAACTTCTTATACGTGAAAGTTTAAGGAATTAACATATGGATGAAACATGACAACTAAACAAAACAATCAAGAAGTCTCCTCTTGCTTATGAATTTACTCAAGAAAAGCCCCAGCTCCTTTGCTAAGTTAAAGCACTAAAGTCCACCACGAGATCTATCGATGTGTGGTACTTTTCTCGATAGGTTACTCATGAAATGGTGCTTCCATAAGGTGCTATAAATTTATACATGTTTTCTACTAACCTCTCAAACAAATCTTGGTAAAATAAAATCAGAGGCCTATTGTAGAATTACTGGTGTAGCATACCTGTTCAGTTTGATCCTCTACATCCTCCGAGACAAATTTCCCAGTCTGCAATTTTGAACAGGAAAAAGAACTTACAACTTCCCTTAACTGAATTGTACACGTGCACTTGTACATTTACAATTGCAAAAAC